GCAAAAAGGAAGACCTTTCTCTCTGTCTCTCTCACTGTCCACCCTGCCTGTCAAAAAAAAAAAAAAAAGGAATATGAGAGACACCTGTGCCAGGCTGCGCTCGGGCCAACAGGCAGAGGGCCTACTGCCAAGTGCCTGCCAAGTGCCAGGGCCCAGACAAGTGGCAAAGAGAAGTAGGGAAGGGACAAGGGGGACAAGAAAGGGACCCATACACTGAGCACTAACATGCATCACATCTCTAGCATCCATTTTATTTAAAGATTTGAAAGGCAGAATGAGAGAGAGAGAGAGGAAGAAACGGAGAGATCTCCCATTTACGGGTTCACTCCCCAAATGGCCACAATGGCCAGATGCACGCTGGGAGCCAGGAGCTCCATCCAGGTGTCCCCCATGCACGGGCAGGAGCCTGGGGGGCTTGGGCCATGCATCACTGCTCCCCCAGGTGCACTGGCAGGGAGCAGGACCCGCAGCAGGGCAGCCAGCACTGAGGCTGGTGCTCTGATAGGGAAGCTGGCGTGGAAAGCGGTGGCTTCATCCCCACCACACATCATTTTGGTCCATCGGCTCCTCAGTCCCACCTGGAGAAGCAGGCACTATCGTCCCCACTTTGCAGAAGAGGAAACTGAGGCTGGAGAGGTCAACTGACTTGCGTGCAGCGGGTGCCTGCGAGTGGCTGAGCTGGGACTTGAGCTCTGGTCGCCGATTCCGCCCTGCGTGTGTTCCTTCCTCGGTGCAGCCAGGTGCCAGGCAAGGGCTGGTGAAGGGCTGAAGCCAGGACAGGACTAGACACCCCTGCCAGGGCCTGCCCAGCGCCGTAGGCATCGGGGGTCCTGGCCCCTCCGGGAGTGCCTCGGTTCTCCCTGGCTGGCTGCTGAGGCTCTTCCACTCATGATCAGGGTGTGCGATGGGCAGGGTGGGAGCGGGAGACGTGGCGCCGTGCTCTGGGAGCCCACGGGAGGTCTCCTTGCCTCCCACTTGTAGAGACCAGCCTGGACACCAAGTCCGTGTCAGAAGGCCACCTCAAAAGGAACATCGTGGTGAAGACCGTGGAGATGCGGGACGGCGAGGTGAGCAGTGATGTTGGCTGCCATAGACCGACACCTACCGGGTCCCCACAATGCCAAGGAGCCCCCCGGGAGCTGAGGAAGGGAGGGGCCTGAATGTAGTTCCCTTTCCCCAGCCCCTCCAAGGGCCGCTCTGGGAGGCCTGGGCACCTGCTGAGCACCCGGGCCACCCGATGGGGTCTTAGCTCTAGCTGTCTCCCTCTCTCACCCTCAGACCCCGGCGCCCCCAGTGCCAGGCCTGTGGGTGGAGAGAGAGAATTTAAAGTTGGCAGGTGTCACTCACAACTGTAGCCAGGACAGTGGGGAGAGGGAGGGCTTTCCCATCCAGCTTGGTCAAAGGTGGCTGCGGAGGAATGGGGCTGGGGGCTATGGCACACGCCCTCCCCAGTCACAACAGCTCACCAGGTGCCAGGTGTGGCCGCTGAAGTCACTATCAAGAGAAGACCCAGGAAGCTTGGGGTCTGGCCCAAGGCCACAGCCCTGAGCCGGGGGTCTGTGAGTCTGGGTGGGCTCCTAACTGTTGCACTGTGCATCTTCCCTGTGCCCTGCAGGTCATTAAGGAGTCCAAGCAGGAGCACAAGGATGTGATGTGAGGCGTGGCCCATTGGTGGCCCTGCCCCACAGCAGGCACAAGAGAGCTGCCCCTCCTCGCTTAGCTCAGTCCCCCGGACCTGCAAGCCCACCCAGCCTGGCTGCCTGTGCTCCCTGCTCCGTCCCTACATCAGCCTGCTGCCCTAGGCTCCATCAGCAGTAGCTCAGCCAGACGGCACCCACCCCGCACCAGCGATTCCAACTAACAGGGCCCTCCCTCCTAAGGGGCAGTCTGGAGGGGCATGGCCAGCAGCCCGGGTTAGAATAAGGAGAAAGGAGAGAAGTCGGGGAGGGCAGAGGACCTAACAGAACACATCCTAGATCCCTGTTGTTATGACAACTGTTGCTGGAGCCGGAGGCCCTCCGTGCCGTTGGGTTCCCTTAGGTTGCTGGAGGGAAAGAGACCTGAGGTGGGAAAGCCCCCACAGGCAAGGTGGCCCTGGCCAGAGGCTCCTTGTTCTTCTACATTGACGCTCATCAGTCTGAGAGTGGGCAGAGCTGTCCTGCCACCTGGGGTAGTCCCCGGGCCATAGTGCTGGCCTCCCGGATCCCAGATGGGCCCTCCTGCATGATGACTCACAAGTCTCGGCCCCACTGGGCTGCCCTCCAGGGAGCCGGGCTGTGGGCAGGTGGGAGCTTGGTGCGCAGCACTTGGGGGATCTACAGTGAAGTGGAGAGGGAAGGGGTGCTAGGAGGGAGCAGAGGGGCTGCCTGGCCCCTAGGCGTGAGTGCAGAGAGGTCAAACCCATGAGGACCCCCCCCACCCCATACAGGCTGGAGGGGGGTGCTAGGAGAGAGGGTAGAGGCGGTGGTCGGGGCTGGGTGTGGCTGACCAGCTACACTGGGCATCTGTGTTGTGGAAATCAAGGAAGTGACATCTTCTGGAAGACGGTGGAGGAGGAGAGAGGGGGGCTGCTGTCCGCAGGGGCAGGGCACAACGCTGTCCCAGTCCTGAGACCCCTTCCTTGCTACATAATCCCTGTCCAGCCTGGCCTCTGAAGCCACCCCCTCCCCGTAACAGCACCCACTTTTCCCTACGCCAAGGACCCCTGCAGTCCCTCTCACACACAAAGTGTAGCCGGCAGCTCCCTGTTTTGTAACTGGGGAGACTGCGGCACAGCACGGTGAAGACATCCGGCTGTGTTCCTACAGCCTGGACGCCCGCCCCAGAGCACCTGCTCTATTTTCCTGGGGCAGACCGGCGGGCATGTGGTGGGCATCTGTGCCCACAGTCAGGTGGGAGGGCTGAGGGCCCACCGCAGGGTCCTCCTCTCCCTTCTAAGGCCAGAGGGAAGCAGAGGTGGGGCCCCTCCCCTTTCCCAAGACTTGGTGTCCCCTCCCCCACTTCCTGCCACTGCCACTGCTGCCGCTGCCTTTAGTCACTGAGGGAAAAATAAAGATAAGTTCTGCGGCCTTGCCCAGAGTGGACTCCAATCTGTGCACCAGAGGGCGGGCCTGTGGCCAAGATCACCCTGATCACCCTGGAGCCCCTCCCCCACGGAGCTGCCAGTCCCAGGCCAGACCTGCTCCACCCGCTGTGCTAGCCTCGCCTCTTTCCCTTGTCCGAGGTTTTGCGTGCTTCCCCAAACCCGCGCCTTCTGCCTGCCCACCCCAGACGAGGGCCAGCCAGGAAGCCTAAGGGGACACGAATTATCTCCCTCCCCTGTTCTCTCGCTTCCTCCCCTTGCATCGCCCAGCCCAACCCACAGCCACTGGACAGTCCCCCACAGCAGGAAGCTCTGGCACCTCTCATGCCATCCTGCACTGACCAGGCCCCCTGGGCACATCAGCACCCTTCTGCCTGCCCTGGCCTGAGAGCAGAGTCCAAACACCTGTGCCCTCTGGCTGCCCCCATCTCCCGCCCCAGACCAGGCCCCAGACCTGCCCAGTAACCTACAGATCTGGCCTGGCCACACCACACACACACACACACACACACACACCCATGTGCACACACACATGCGCACACACACGTCCCGGCCCCACAGTGCCTGCCCAGGAGCTCCCGGTATCATTTAACAAGCACATGGAAGCACAGCCGGTCTTCAGGGCGGGGCGCCTAGGGGGAGAAGCTGGGACAACAGCGGAGTAAGTAGCAGCAGCAGCGGCAGAGGTGGATGCTGACGAACAGCAGCGTGATGAGCACGTAGCCTATCAGGGTGAGTTCCACCGCGGCGCGCGTCTCCGGGTCGGACAGCGAGGCCGGGGAGCGCCCGCGGGTCGTCACGCCCAGCCGGAAGCCGGCGACCCGCTCGCCCTGCCGCCAGCAGTAGTAGATGCCGCGGTCACTCAGCTGGGTGAAGCGGATGTGCAGGTGGCTGCCGTGGTCGATGAACACCCTCATGGACCTGTTGGCGCCCTTCAGGTACTCTGTGCGGTAGAGGCGCTGGTTGTCCTTGTCCCAGGCCACCGCGTGCTCAGGCCGGGCCCCGGGGCAGGAGATGACGAGCCCGTGGCCCAGTCTCTGTTGGTGGAACTGAATGGGCACCTGGGGCACCCAGGGCCGGCTGCCCAGCTTGGACACGTAGTTGTAGATGGCCAGCACCCCGCCGCGGATCGTCTTCCGCATCGTGCAGGGCTCCTGACAGCTCCGGACCAGCACCTCGGGTGTGTGGTCCCTGGCTGCGGCGCGCAGCTTCCGCGGCACGGCCCGCGAGCCGCAGGACACCACGTCCGGCACCGACTTGCGGTAGCGCGGGGACAGGCCCGGGCTCTGCAGGTAGCAGAGGCCGATGCGCCACTGCTCGCCACGCACCCCGCAGCGGTCGCATGGCGTCCACTCCCAGAAGGTGGTGAAGACGCGGAGGCTGCCGCGGAACTCGTCCGCGAGGGGCTCCTCGCCCTTGTCCTGGAAGGTGGCCACCATGCCCTCGCTGCTCTGGATGTCCACGTCGTAGGCGTAGAAGTAGTCCCCCTTGCGGGTGCCGCAGAAGTACAGGCCCGAGTCCTGCGGCTGCGCCCGGAACACCAGCAGGCTGAACATGCGGATGCTGAAGCGCTGCAGCACGTCGCTGCCCGTGCGCACGTGGGCCGCCTCCGTCAGCACGCGCCCGTCGAAGTCGGTCAGCACCGTGGTGTGGCTGCTCCCTAGGCGCTTCTGGTAGTACCAGACCACAGCCAGCACCTCCTCCGGCTTGCAGTGGCAAGGGAGCTCGAAGCTCATGTCCGCCAGGTAGGCGGCGTTGTCAAACATCAGGAAAGCCGGGCAGGGCGTCTTCTGAAAAATATTCTCTTTCTCCACGATCTCAAAGGCCTGGAGGTGCCCCCACGCCCACAGGAGCAGCGTGGCCGGGACCAGGCTCATGCCTGCGGGAGGCAGGGGCACGGCGAAGCCGAGGCACTGAAGGCCCGCGTGGCTTCCAGGAAAACAAAATCTCTGCCCAAAGTTCTCTGTAGGAGAGAAGGAGTCAGCGGCTGGAAGAGGAGGAGGAAGCAGCCAGAAGCAAGGCGGTTTATTCCCAGCTGTGTACAAGATGCCCTTCCAATGTTCCAGGCGTGAGCTCCAGGGAAAGCCATTCTAGAACCCGGCCCTCACTCCCCTTTCTAGAACCCTGGCGCTCGCCCAAGAATGGGTCCAGGGTGGCCGGAATGAGAGGGGCCCAGGCGCCCGGGCAGGGTCTTCCCTTCGGCCTCCCTGTTCCAGGCTCTGCATGGCTGCCTCGTGGAAAAGTCTTCCCTGCTCTCAGTCGGGGACACCGAGGGAGCCCACCTCCCCCCACCAGGGAGGCTGGCCAGACCTGTGCTGATGGCCTGGGGCTTGCCCAGGCCCCCTCCCAGGCCTTGGTCCCTAGGGGAACACGGGAGCATCTGATCATCGTTGGGTCAGTGCGCACTCACTGGATCTGGGCCATAAGCAGGCTCATACTGTGGAAGTCCACACCTACCTCCCCGAGAAGACGATGAAGTTCGCTTTTCCTTCCTCTGAGCGGAGGCTGTAACTGGCGCGCCCAGCGTTTGGCTGGACACGTACTTATTGTTTAGGGCCTGTAGGCTAGAGACTTGGCACAAGTCTGGGAAGCAAAACTGCTTTCAACTTCCTGGGCCCCTGACTGTCCCGTGGCTGGAGCGGCTAGAGAGGAGGGGGAGGCTCAGTTCCTGCTTTTGCTCTAAAAACTCCACATTGAGAAGGTGGGCAGGTGTGGCTTTCTCATGGCAGTCCTGTAGAGACCCGAAGGCGACACCCCCGAGTGCCTCCAGAGACCGTGGGGGGCCTCTGAGGGGAGCGGGTCCTAACCGTCCACCCCGCACGGCCCTCGGAGGCCTCTGAGGGGAGCTGGTCCTACCCGTCCACCCCGTACAGCCCTCGCAGGTGCTGCAGGAGCTCCTCCTCCACCTGCAGCCCCGCAGACGGCTCCAGGCCTTGCTCCTCCTGCCTGAGCCCCTCCTTCACAGCTCTAGGCGTGCCCATGGCCTGCAGCTTCTGGAACAAGCGTCTGCAGCTCTCTCGCTCTGCGGCGCTCAACAGGCTCAGGTTCAAGGGGAAGCGTCCTGTGCTGGCCAGGCTGTGCAGGATCCCCAGCACTGCCGCACGGTCTGCCGGCCTCACCTGATCCGCCAGGGCCACCAGAAACTCCCCTAGAAGCCCAAATCCCACATCCACCTGGAACAGGTGGCCCAGCTCTGGGCCCCCGAGCTGCAGCAGGGCCTGGTAGCGCTCTGGTCCGTTCTGCAGGTGGCGACGCCAGTTGCGGTAGAACTCTGCTGAGGTCGTGGGCTGGACGGCAGCTTCCTCCTGGGTCACAGGAGGGAAGGGGGAGCTCAGAGCTGTGAGGTGAGGGGAGCCCGTGGGTTTCATCTTAACGCTGGCACTGCTCTCTGAGCTCTGGGAAGGCTGAGTTTCCCGCGGGCCTCATTTTTCTTTTTTTTTTTTTTAATTTATTTAATTTATTATTTTTTTTTGACAGGCAGAGTGGAAAGTGAGAGAGAGAGACAGAGAGAAAGGTCTTCCTTTGCCGTTGGTTCACCCTCCAATGGCCGCCGTGGCCGGCGCGCTGCAGCTGGCGCACTGCGCTGATCCGATGGCAGGAGCCAGGTACTTATCCTGGTCTCCCATGGGGTGCAGGGCCCAAGGACTTGGGCCATCCTCCACTGCACTCCCTGGCCACAGCAGAGAGCTGGCCTGAAAGAGGGGCAACCGGGACAGAATCCGGCGCCCCGACTGGGACTAGAACCCGGTGTGCCGGCGCTGCAAGGTGGAGGATTAGCCTATTGAGCCATGGCGCCGGCCGGGCCTCATTTTTCAGATGACAGAACTGGGGGTGGGGCAGGGAAGGAGGGCCCCAAGGAATCCAGGCTGTGATCTGAGAGTCTCATTTGTGCCAGGGTCTTCCTGCGGATGAACAACACAGACTCACAGCTCTGGTCTTCGAGAGGCAGTCAGCCTTTACTCCGAAGGGCGGGGGGAAGGAGGAAAGCAACTCAAAACAAGTGTCAAGGATTTGAGTGGGTCCTGACCCCGCGTCTGTGCCCCCTACCCAGAGAAAGAGCAAGCCAAAGCTGATCTGGGAATGGGGTCAGTTCTACCCAGCTCAGCTCAGCCTCTCCAACTGCTGATGGCTTTCCTTCAGGGACTGGAGGCCACGGAAGTGGGATTGGCCCACCTGGGGGGCTTCGGGGGTCACGTCATGGGAAGCCTTTCCCTGGCCAGAGTGACAGTTCCAGGGCACGCTTCTCTTTCCTCCCGTCTTGTCCTTCCGCTCCAGTGGCCTCAGATGTGACGCGAGGACAATAGCCCTGTGGGCAAAGGAGAGGCCGTGGGGCGGACGTTCACATTCGGCGGGTGTGAGGCAGCCAAGGTCTTCGTGACGGAGGCCAAACCCACTGCAGACCCAACCCACTGTGCCGACAACAACGGACTGGGCCGCCCGGTTCCGAGCGCTGCTCCTGCGGCAGACACCACGCTCAGAGAATCAGGGAACTCACACACGATCGCACAAGTTAGGGGAGCAAGGAGCCAGGGCTGAGGGAGTGGGACGATGGCGTGGCCTCCTGCCAGAGCCCCGCCGCCAGCCCCTGGGCTCCACCGTCACAGCAGGCCCGACCTGAACTGCTCGTAGGAAGGCACCCTCTGCTCCACTGCCCGCAGCTTGGCCGCGTTCTCCCGCTTGTACTTCTCATCAGCCGCGAGTGCTGCCTGCAGCTCCTTCTCCAAAGCCTTGAAGTCGATGGCATCATTCCTGTCCATGGCCCGCACCTGGAAGAGCAAAAGGGTGTGCACGTCAAGGGTGCGTCTGGGGACAGAGGGCACCTCGGGAATCTCTGCTGGAACACAGCCACACCCAAGAGCACCCTGGAGAGCGTGTCACTCACCTTGGGGCACACTACGAAAGTCTAGTTCTCTCCAGAGAGGAGCCGAGTTGTGTAAGTGAGGACTTACACAGACTTGTCATTGAAAACAGATTCCTGGGGCCGGTGCTGTGGCCTAGTGGGTGAAGCCACCGCCTGTGACACTGACATCCCATGTGGGCATCAGTTTGAGTCCAGGCTGCTCCACTTCTGATGCAGCTTCCTGCTAATGGGCCTCGGAAAGCAGCAGAAGATGACCCAAGTCCTTGGGCCCCTGCACCCACATGGGAGACTCAGAAGAAGCTCCTGGCTTCAGCCTGGCACAGTCCCAGCCACTGTGACCATTTGGGGAGTGAACCAGTGGATGGAAGATTTCTTTGACTCTACCTCTTTCTCTGTGTAACTCTGCATTTCAAATAAATAAATAAATCTTTTTTAAAAATAAAGAGGGGCTGGCACTGTGGTGTATTGGGTGAAGCTGCTGCCTGCAGTGCTGGCATCCCATATGGGTGCTGGTTCGAGTCCCGGCTGTTCCACTTCCGATCAAGCTCTCTGCTATGGCCTGGGAAACCAGTAGAAGATGGCCCAAGTACTTGGGCCCCTGCACCCATGTGGGAGACCCGGAAGAATCTCCTGGCTCCTGGCTTCTGATTGACACAGCTCTGGCCATTGCAGCCAATTAGGGAGTGAACCAGTGGATGGAAGACCTCTCTCTCTCTGCCTCTCCTTCTCTCTGTAACTCTTTCAAATACATAAATAAATCTTTAAAAAATACTCAAAACCCACTTTTTAAAAAAATAAAGAAAATAGAGTTCTTTCAGTTTGGAGCCTAGTCTTTTTTAAAAAAAATTATGTATTTGAAAGGCAGAGTTGCGTGATGGGTAGGGAGAAAGGAAGAGGAGAGATCTTCCTTCCACTAGTTCACTCCCTAGATGATTGCAACAGACAGGGCTGGGCCAGGCCAAAACCAGGAGCCAGAAATGTAATTGTGGTCTCCAACAGGGATGGCAGGGACTCAAGCACCTGGGCATCTTCCGCTGCTTTCCCAGACACATTAGCAGGGAGCTGGAGTGGAAGTGGAGCTACCTGATTTGGTGCCCGTATGGGACGCCAGCATTATACGTGGTCACTTACCCTGCTGCGCCACAACAGCAGCCCCAAGTTTGTAGCCTTAATTTTGTTCTTGGCCTGTAAAAATATTTTTATAAAGATGAATGTTCAGGCATCTTATTCATTTTTTAAATTTTTATTTATTTATTTATTTTTGACAGGCAGAATTAGACAGTGAGAGAGAGAGAGAAAGGTCTTCCTTCTGTTGGTTCACCCCACAAATGGCTGCTACAGCCGGCGCTGTGCTGAATCAAAGCCAGGAACCAGGTGCGTCTCCTGGTCTCCCATGCGGGTGCAGTGACCAACCACTTGGGCCATCCTCCACTGCACTCCCAGGACACAGCAGAGAGCTGGACTGGGAAGAGGAGCAACCGGGACAGAATCCGGCGCTCCAACTGGGACTAGAACCCGGGGTGTTGGTGCCACAGGCGGAGGATTAGCCTAGTGAGCCTCAGCGCCGGCCAGGTTTATTTTATTTGAAAGGCAGAGCTACAGAGAAAGGTAGAGACAGAGAGAAGTCTTCCATCTGCTGTTTCTCTCTCCAGATGGCCACAAAGGCCGGAGCTGCGCCAATCCGAAGCCAGGATCCAGGAGCTTCTTCTGGGTCTCCCACATGGGTGCAGGGGCCCAAGAACATGGGTCATCTTCTGCTGCTTTCCCAGGCCATAGCAGAGAGCTGGATCAGAAGTGGAACCACTGGGACTCAAACTGGCACCCATATGGGATGCTGGCACTGCAGGCAGTGGCTTTACCTGCTGTGCCACAGCACTGGCCCCCTACAGCAAGTTGTAATAGAGGCCCTCAAATAGAAGCAGAACTCATTTTAAAAAAGATTTCTTTGGAGGGGCCAGGGCTGTGGTGTAGTGGGTTAGTTAAGCCACCACCTGCAGTGCCAGCATCCCATATAGGTGTCGGTTCAAGTCCTGGCTGCACCTCTTCTGATCCAGCCCTCTGCTATGGCCTGGGAAAGCAGTAAAAGATGGCCCAAGTGCTTGGGCTCCTGCACCCGTGTGGGAAGACCTGGAGGAAGCTCCTGGCTCCTGGCTTCAGATCAGCATAGCTCTGGCCATTGCAGCCAATTGGGGAGTGAGCCAGCAGATGGAAAACTTCTCTCTCTCTCTCTCTCTCTCTCTCTCTCTCTCTCTCTCCTTCTCTTTCTGTGTAACTCTTTCAAATAAAACTAAATAAATCTTAAAAAAAATTAAAACGATTGGTTTGAAAGGAAGAGTGACAGAGGGAAACACCACATACATACTCACACATGCATACACACAACATCTTTCATCTGCTCATTCGCTCCCCAAATGCCGACAGACAGTTGTTGCAACAGAAGCCTTTACACAAAAGCAGAACTTGCTGTCTCTTTTTAAAAGCATTTGAGAGAGAGAGAGAGGGAGGGAGAGATCTGTTGGGAGCCTGTTGGTTCACTTCCCAAATGCCCACAGCACCAGGTCTAGGCCAGGCTGCAGCTGGGAGCCAGGAATCCAAGTAGCTGGACCTCATCTGCTGCCTCCCAGCTGTCCGAACTCCACCCGGCACTCTGATATGGGACGTGGGTGTCCCAAGCAGCAGCTTTAACCTGCTGTGCCACAGTGCCCATCCCCGAAGCACAACTCTTGTTAGTCATTCCTGAGCGCAGGAATCACTTTATCCTTCATTGAAGATCTTCAATGGGAAAGAGTACTTTGCAGCCAAGCCAGATGCGATGACTGGGCAGGGAACTGAACAGAAGTGACAGAGAAGGAACTCAATGGTCCCCATCCCCAAACCCCCAGTCCAGCCCAGGCCTGGGCATGGAGTCTAGGTGCCTGGGCTTTGTTCAACTCTACCACTGTGCTTCTACAACCCCTGCCAACAGGAAGCTCAGTGACCTTTCCTACAAGGAGACTATTACATAGAGTCTAGTTAGTGCTGGCATTTATAAGCGTACTTCAAAATGTTCCCAGAAAAAAATGCAATTAGAAGATAAGTTTAGGGGCTGGCGCTGTGGCACAGAGGCTGGGTCTCCACCTGTGGCGCTGGCATCCCGTGTGGCCGCTAGTTCATGTCCCAGCTGCTCCTCTTCCCATCCAGCTCTCTGATATGGCCTGGAAGAGCACCAGAAGATAGTCCAAGTGCTTGGGCACCTGCACCCATGTGGGAGACCTGGAAGAAGCTCCTGGCTCCTGGCTTTGGATTAGTCCAGCTCCGGCCATTGTGGCCATTTGGAGAGTGAACCAGTGGATGAAAGACCTCTCGGTCTGACTTTAGCTCTACCTCTCAAATAAATAAATAAATCTTAAAGAGATAAGTTTAGGGGCAGATGCTCAGTGCAGTGGTTAGGTGGCACCTGAGACACCTGCACCCCATATCAAAGACAGGGTCATGTCTCAGCTTCTGATTCAGCTTTCTCCTAATGTACACCCGGGGAGGAAGCAGATGATGGTTCAAGTACTCAGGTCCCTGCCATCCACACAGAAGACCCAGATAAAGTTCTGGCCTCCTGGCTTCTGTCTGGCCCAGTCCTGGCTCTTGTGGATATTTGGAGAGTGAACCAGCAGATGGAAGAACTCCCTCCCTGCTCTGTCTCTTTAAATTTAAATAAATTGAAAATAACTAAATATTTAAAGATAATAAGTATTGTTTAAAAATGAGTTTATTTTGGTGCAAAAGCATTTTGAAATCCATGCAACTTAAAATAATGTTTTATTTATTTGAAAGGCAGAGAGAGAGGGAGAGGGAGAGGGAGAGAAGGAGAGGGAGAGACAGAGAGAGAGATCCTCCATCTAGTCCTTGACTTCCCAAATCGCGGCAACAGCCAGGGCTGGGCCGGGCCGAAATCAGGGGCCTGGAACTGCATCCAGGCCTCCCGCGTGGGTGCAGGAGCCCAAGCACTTCAGCCGTCTTCAGCTTTTCCCAGGTGCACTAGCAGCGAGCTTGAGCTGAAGTGCCCACTTGGACCTGCCCTCACCTGAGATGCTGGCGTTGCAGCGGCGGCCTGACTCGCTGCGCCACAACTCCTGCCTCATAGTTTTTCATAATACACATTTTTATGCACTTTTTGGAGGCACCCTCTATCGTATGCATGGACTTGGAATATCTGCATCGAAATAAGCTTATCTTTTAACTCCATTTCCCACAAGCTTTTCAAGTGCCCGCGTACTTGTGAGACTTATCTGGGGACACCGAGCAGTCCTGGCAGGGAAGCAGGCGGTCCTCAACTAGCTACCCACACGGACAAACCTAGCGAAGTTGAACGCCAGAACCGACTGGGCTGGCCAGGAGCTGAACTCAGGAGTCCCGGCCCCTGAGCCCTGCAGTCAGCCAATAAGTAGAACTAACCCGTCTGTCCTCCCGACCCAGCCACCCGGACCTTCACCACCGCAGTTCCGGCCTCGGTCCCCTCGCTTTCTTTGGGGACTCCCTGGTGTACTGGAACCAAACGGCGGCTCGGAGCCCACTACGCCCAGCATCCGCGGTTGCCTAGCAACTGCGCCAACGGCCTGCCCACGTGACCTGCCCGAAAGCCCCTTTAGGTGGCCTGGCGGTGCCTGACCCAGTAGTCATGTATGCTCAGGCTTCACTCTCTTTCGAGCAGCCCACGCTTGGGTGTGGGACTCACAACTCCACCCGGTCGGCTCCTGTGTCTGCGGTCGGCATTCCTCAGTGCCGGTTCTCAGGCACAGGGCTGTCCTCCGTGGCAGAAACGCGGCCTCGGCGTCTGCGGGGTCCTTCTTGGCTGCGGGCGCAGGCGCTGCAGTGACGCGAGGCGGCCGCGCGGTCTCCGTCGGCGGACTTGGGGTTCTACGCTGAGCAGGGAGGAGGTGAGCTAACGGGGGTCCGTGGCGTGGGAAGGTTATCTGGGCAGGGCGGGAAGTTACAGAGCATCGTATCTGGAAGAGGCATGAGGTGCTGTCTGCCCGTTGCGGATGAGTGAGCTGAGGCCTGGAGCCGGAAGGAGCCCCCCGACCCCATCCCTAAAGTCGCGTTCCTGGGCAGGGGTTGAGCTTTCACTGCCGCGTCTCCTCGCTCTCTCATCAGTGCCGCCATCACCTCTTCTCTGCCAGGCTCTTTGTCTTCATTTGGGATTCTTTTTCAGAAGTTAAAATAGCGAGGGGCTGCGGTGAGGTTCGTAACCAGCTGGTGCAACTCAGCTGTCTGTGCGTTGCTGGAGTCGTCCGATCGTGCGTTCAACACATGCTTGCTGAGGGCCTGTTTTGTGCCAGGCGCTGTCCTAAGTGAACGAGAGACCTTGCTTAAGTTGTAGCGGGAAGAACGAACAGGATGCAAACGAGTAGATTCATGTCTTGATAGGAAAACGGTGAAAGTGAGGGTCGGAGAGCGTGAATGAGGGGCTTTTTAGTAAAAAGAGACTTTGATAAGCTAGAGGGAAAAGTTACGAATACCTCAGGCAAGAGCATTTCAGACAGAATGGCAGGTGCAGTGGCCTTGGGGCTGGGCTTGACTTGTTCCACGAACCGCTCTCTATGGAACTCTCTGCATTTGTTGGCTGGAGGTCTTGGGAGAATGAATGAGCCCAGTTTGATAGCTCTTTGGAAGTAAAAAGAGTCTTTATGCATATGAGATTTTCTCTAATAATGTACACGTAACTACCACTTCTTTTTTTTTTTTTAAGATTTATTTATTTATTTGAAAGAGTTACACACAGAGAGAAGCAGAGGCAGAGAGCAAGAGCAAGAGAGAGGGAGATCTTCCATCCACTGGTTCACTCCCCAAGTGGCCACAATGGCTGGAGCTGCACCAATCTGAAGCCAGGAGCCAGGAGTTTCTTCGGGTCTCCCACTTGGGTTCAGGGGCCCAAGGTCTTGGTCCATCTTCCACTGCTTTCCCAGGCCATAGCAGAGAGCTGGATCAGAAGTGGAGCAGCCGGGACTCAAACTGGTGCCCATATGGGCAGTGCCGGCTTTACCACTGTGCCACAGCGCCAGCCCCGTAACTACCTCTTCTTGGGTTCTCCAATTATGTGTTTTATTTGCAATCAGCACTCAGCAAGTGGCATTGAGGGAGGTTGAGGTATTAGCTCAATGCAAGAAACATCAGTATCAAATATTCCATTCCATTTGCATTTATCCAGTTCCTGCGTACACAGGGTGCTCTTGGGCTTTGGGAGGGGAGCACAGGGAGCACAGGTTCTTCTAGTCAAGAATGACCAGAGATAGGATGACAGGCGTTATAGCACAGTAGGTTGAGACACTGGGAAGGCCACATCCCATGTTGGTGCAGCGGTTTGAGTCCCAGTTTCTCTGCTTGTGATCCATCGTCCTGCTAATGCATCCTGGGAGGTAGCAGGTTTTGGCACATGGGCCCCTGCCACTCAGTGGGGGACCTGGATGGAGTTGCAGGGTTTTTATCTAATCCCCAATCATTTTATGCATGAGGTTTCATCACTCCATTTTCCAGTTCAGGAAATGGATGTGCAGAGGTGAAGTAAGACGTACATGGGCTGGCTTTGTGGCTTTGCAGGCAAAGCTGTCTGTGACGCCACTTCATCTCCCGGAGGCTGCTCCACTTCCGATCCAGCTCCCTGCTAATGCCCTGGGGAAAGCAGCAGAGAGAGGATGTTTTGGGACGCTGCTTCCCACATGGGAGACTGGATGAAGCTCCTGGCTCCTGGCTTCAGCTTGGCCCAGTCCTGGCCATTGTGGCCATCTGGGGAGTGGATCTGAACTTGGAAGAGCCCTCTGTCTTTCCTTCTGTCCCTGTAACTCTTTCAAATAAATAAATAAATCTTTTTTTTTTTTTTTTTTTTAAGTTACATAGTTGCTAGTGATGAGTTTGGGATTTGAATCTAGGTCTTCCAGCTCCAGAGGCTTGATGTTGTGCTCCTGGACTATGGAGTTGTTGAGGGTAATTAGTGCAGTGAACCGCCATCCAGGAAAAAGCTGAACAGTGATGTAAATCCAAAAGACTGCAGCGGCATAGGGGAATAAGAAATTGAGATCTGGGTCAGCGCCGCGGCTCACTAGGCTAATCCTCCGCCTTGCGGCGCCGGCACACCGGGTTCTAGTCCTAGTCGGGGCACCGGATTCTGTCCCGGTTGCCCCTCTTCCAGGCCAGCTCTCTGCTGTGGCCAGGGAGTGCAGTGGAGGATGGCCCAGGTGCTTGGGCCCTGCACCCCATGGGAGACCAGGAAAAGCACCTGGCTCCTGGCTCCTGCCATCGGATCAGCGCGGTGCGCTGGCCGCAGCGCGCCGGCCACGGCGGCCATTGGAGGGTGAACCAACGGCAAAGGAAGACCTTTCTCTCTGTCTCTCTCTCTCACTGTCCACTCTGCCTGTCAAAAAAAAAAAAAAGAAAGAAAGAAAGAAAAAAGAAATTGAGATCTAAGAAAGCTTGAAGGAGGTAGCATTTGAATTCTTCTTCTTCTTCTTCTTTTTTTTTTTTTTTGACAGGCAGAGTGGACAGTGAGAGAGAGAGACAGAGAGAGAAAGAAAGGTCTTCCTTTTGCCGTTGGTTCACCCTCTAATGGCCGCCGCGGCCAGCGCACTACAGCCGGCGCATCGCGCTGATCGGAAGCCAGGAGCCAGGTGCTTCTCCTGGTCTCCCATGGGGTGCAGGGCCCAAGCACTTGGGCCATCCTCCACTGCCTTTCCGGGCCATAGCAGAGAGCTGGCCTGGAAGAGGGGCAACCGGGACAGAATCCGGCGCCCCGACCGGGACTAGAACCCGGTGTGCCAGTGCCGCAAGGCGGAGGATTAGCCTAGTGAGCCGCGGCGCCGGCCTGAATTATTCTTATTTTAAAAATTATTTAAAAGTCAGATCCAGATACCTCCCATCTTCTGATTCACTCTCCCAAGTGCCTGCAATAGCTGGAGCTGGTCCAAGCCAAAGCCACAGAGCAAGGAAACCAAACTGGGCCTCCCTGCCAGGGTGCTCATTAATAGGAAGCTGGAATTTGAACCCAGGAACTTTGCTTTGGGATGCAGGATCCTAAGCAACATTGTAATGCTCTGCCAAATGTGTGTGTGTGCGTGTGTGTGTGTGTGTGTGTGTTGAAAGGCAGAGTGACAGAAAAGTAGAAGCAGAGAGAGAGATCTCTCATTCAGTGGCTCACTCCCCCACTGTACTGGACCAAAGCCAGGAGGCAGGAGCTCCAGCTGGACCTCCCCCACAGGTGACAGAAACTCCAGTACTTGAGTGAGCATCTGCTGCCTCCCAGGTGCGTTAGCAGCAAGCTGGATTGGAAGCGGAGGGGGACTCTATCCCAGACGTCTCCAGCAGCAGCATAGCCACTGCACCACAGTGCCACCCCATCCGTTTTCATGTTTGTGTTTGAGGGGCAGAGAGAGAGAAGGTGCTCCCGTCTACTTTTTCACTCCACAGGTGCTTGCAGTGGCCAGGCCAAGGCCCGTGTGTGGCAGGAACCCAGTTACCTGGGCTGTAGCCTTGGCCTCTCAGGGCCTACATTGGCTGGAGGCTGAAGTAAAGAGGCAGAGGCAGGTGTGGAGCCCCGGCACTTCTGTCGTCTTACCTGCTAGCCCCAACGCCTGCCTCTTGAACTATTGAGTAGAGTTTCTATCTTTGAAGTAGAGAAAACCTACAAAGTAGTAATTACAGTGGAAAAGGAGGAACTTTATAATGGAAAAACTTGCCGATACTTCCTTAATCAAGAATCAAAGTTAATATCATCACAAATGGGACAAATTGAAGTCACAGACCACCCGATAGGAGATGCGCTGAGAAAAACACAGCAGCATTGCTGTGGCACTCCTGCCGAAAGGGCAGAGCCTGCGTATACTCCTGCGGAAACATCCCGCAAGCCCAAGTGAGGGGACAGTCTGCAAAATCACTGCTTCTAAGCTTCAGCAGTGTTAAGTCATAGAAGCCAAGGCCAGACTGAAGAACTGGGACAGGCTGAAAGAGAGGTTGACAGGGCAACTCCAAGAAAATGTGTGATCCTGGCTCGGAGCCTTGGCTGTGCAGGGTACTGCGGTGGCCCACTTGTAAAACCTGAGTGAACTCTGTGGTTTAGGTGGTAGTAATGGGTCCATAGTAATTTTATGCTTTGGATGACCGTACTGTGGTATGTAGAGATGTCCTTGTTTGTGGAGGTCACACACGCTGAGACAGTGGTTGGCAAGCTTTCTGTTAAGGGCCAGAGAATATTTTAGGCTTTGTGGACCATATGGTCTCATTTCCAACTCCTCAACTTTGCTGTTGCAGTGTGAAAGCAGCTACATGTGCATGAACATGCCTGTGTTCCAGTGGAACTTTGTAGACACTGAACTTGAATGTCATTAATTAATGTGTTATGAACTGTTTTAACTTGAAGAAAAGCATTCTTCACTTGGGGCAATGCAAAAGCAGGTGGAGGGGCCAGAGTTGGCCACGGGCCAGTTTGCCAGTTCCTGTCCTGAAGTATTACAGGGTGGTGGGATGTTGTGTCAGCAGGCTGCTCTCAGTAAGTTAGGCAACGGGAAGTTATTTGTACTGGCACTTTTGGTATTATATTATTTTAGAATCTTTTTCAGTATTAAAGAAGAGGAGGGAACAGTGTTTAAGTAGTAATGCCAAGTAGGCCAGAGAGGTGGGGAAAGTACTGGACTTTGGGGGGTGCAGTCGAGAGCTGGATATAACTGGAGAGGAGGTGTGTGCAGGGGTCTGGTGGACCATGAAGCCAGGAGACGGGGACTATGTTGTCAGTCTTCACTCTTCTCTTCTTTTTGAATTTTAGCACCATGGATACTGACTTGTATGATGAGTTTGGAAATTATATTGGACCCGAGCTTGATTCTGATGAAGATGATGATGAATTGGGCAGAGAGACCAAAGATCTTGATGAGGTAAAAAAAATATATTGGGTTCTTTTGTCTGTCTCTTTAAATTTTATTTATGTATTTATTTATTTGAAGATACTTCTCATCCATTGGTTCACTCTCCAGATGACCGTAGCAGCTAGGGATGGGCCAGGCTGAAGCTAGGAGCTGTAAACCCAGTGTGAGTCTCCCATGTGAGTAGCAGGGACCCAGTTACTTGGGCCATCATTTGCTGCCTCCCAGAGTGCACATTAGCAGGAAGCAGGAATTGGAAGTGAAATTGGGATTCAAACCCAGGCACCCCGAAGTGGGATGTGAGCATCCCAAGTGTTTTTTAGTCACTGTGCCGAAAGCTTACTCTGTCACTCTCTCTCTCTTTAAGATTTATGTATTTTATTAGGCCAGTGCTGCGGCTCACTAGGCTAATCCTCCGCCTTGCGGCACCAGCACACTGGGTTCTAGTCCCGGCCGGGGCGCCGGATTCTGTCCCGGTTGCCCCTCTTCCAGGCCAGCTCTCTGCTGTGGCCAGGGAAGTGCAGTGGAGGATGGCCCAAGTGCTTGGTCTTCACCCCATGGGAGACCAGGAGAAGCACCTGGCTCCTGGCTTTGGATCAGTGCAGTGTGCCAGCCGTGGCGGCCATTGGAGGGTGAACCAACGGCAAAAGGAAGACCTTTCTCCCTGTCTCTCTCTCTCACTGTCCACTCTGCCTGTCAAAAAAAAAAAAAAAAAAAAAAGATTTATGTATTTTATTTGAAAGAGTTACAGTTAGAGAGAAAGGGAGAGACAGAGACTGAGAGATCTTCCATCTGGTTCACTCCCCAAATAGTCACTATGGCTGGATCTGTGCTGATCTGAAGCCAGGAGCTTCTTCTAGGTCTCCCACATGGGTGCAGGGGCCCAAGCACTTGGGCCATCTTCTACTGCTTTCCGAGGCCATAGCAGGGAGCTGGATCAGAGGTGGAGCAGCTGGGGCTTAAACCAGCACCCCTATGGAATGCCGCTGCCCGTATGCCATATGGGAGGCTTAACCTACTACACCACAGTGCCAGCCCCTGCCCTTCTCTTTTTAAAATTAACAGTAAAGTGCTGAATCCTTTCTCTTCCCTTTATACCCTGTGTATATCTCTAACATTGTCCTTTTTATAGCATGATTTATTGGGGTCTTATACTGCCCCTGAGGTAGCTTAGCTACTAAAGTTCCAAAAGGGGGTATCAGATCATTTCATGGATGAGGTCATTTTGTCTTCTGAGTTCTAGTTCGTCTGGTAACATGCCTTCTTCTCTTAGGCTTAAGTGTCTTTTGGCAGTCATGAATAATTCTGACTTAGAAGAGATTAGCTAACTTCCAAGTGCAGCTGCATCAGGGGCTCCCTCACAAGCTCAGGTTTGCTTTTGTTAGTTTTGTTAAGTTTTATTTATATTTTACTTACTTGAAAGGCAGAGAAACACAAGCAGAACAAGATTGTGTATCTACTGGTTCATTTTCCAAATATCCATACCATCCAAAATATCCATAACAGCTAGGGCTGAACCAGGCCAGCTGATGTGGCTAGCAGGGTCCTAAGTACTGCAGTTATTACCTGCTGCCTCCCAGGGTGCTCATTAGCAGGGAACTGGAATCAGAAGCAGAGCCAGGACTTGAACCCATGCACTCTGATATGGGATTCAGATATCTCAAGCAGCATCCTTTTATTTTTTTATTTTCTTCTAAAGATTTATGTATTTATTTATTTGAAAGGGAGAGTTAGAGAGATAGAGAGATCTTTCATCTGCTGGTTCACCCCCCAGATGGCAGCAATGGCTGGGGCTGGGCCAGGCTGAAGCCAGGAACCTGGAACTCCATCTGGGTCTCCCAGGTAGGCGTTTGACCAAGTTTTTAAGAAAATGATAGAGGGGCCGGCGCTGTGGCAAGTGGGTTAATTCTCTGCCTGCGGTGCCAGCATCCCATATGGGCACTGGTTTATGTTCCAGCTGCTCCTCTTCCAATCCAGCTCTCTGCTGTGGCCTGGGAAAGCAGTGGAAGATGGCTCAGGTGCTTAGGCCCTTGCACCTGCACAGGAGACTGGAGGCAGGCACCTGGCTCCTGGCTTTGGATCAGCGCAGCTCCAACTGTTGGCAGCCACTGGGGAGTGAACTAGTGGACAGAAGACCTTTCTCTCTGTTTCTCCCTCTCACTGTCTGTAACTCTACCTCTCAAATAAATAAATAAAATCTTAAAAAAAAAAAAAAAAGAAAATGATAGAGAGTCCCATGTCCTATTCAGAGTACCTGGGTTTGAGTCTGGCTCTGGCTCTGGCTACTTCCTGCTAATGAGCACCTGAGGAGGCAGCAGGTGATGGGTCAAGTAGTTGGGTTCCAGGGCTGGCCCTGTGGCATAGCAGATTAAGCCATTGCCTGCAGCACTGGCATCCCATATAGGTGCCAGTTCAAGTCCTGGCTGTTCCACTTCGAATCCAGCTCCCTGCTGAAGTACCTAAGGAAGCAGTGGAGGATGGCCAAAGACCTTGGGCCCTAGCACCCATGTGAGATGCAGATGAAGCTCCTGGCTTCAGCTTAGCCCAGCTGGGTCATTGCAACCATCTGGGGAATGAACCAGTAGATGGAAGATATCTCTTTTCCTCTCCTCTCTCTCTATAACTCTGCCTTTCAAATAAATAAATAAATCTTAAAAAGAAAAAAAAAAGTAGTTAGGTTCCTTCCACTCATGTAGGAGAGCTGGAGACCTGGAATGAGTTCCTGGCTCCAGATTTTGCCATGGCCCAGCCCTGGCCATTGGTGAGCATTTGGTTAGTCAACTAGCAGACAGAAGTTGTTTGTGTTTCTCTGTCTCTCAAGTAAAAAAAGGAAGAAAGCGAAGAAGCTATGGCGAGCAGCTGTGATACCAAGAAGTGAATTAGATAACTCATTCCAATTTCCAGAGGTGGTGATAAGGTGCTGAATTTCAGAAACTATAGATTTGTAACTGTGCATCCATTGTAAAATTATGGAAGGAACTAGGAAACAGATTACTATGTACCACTTAGGAAGCTAATATGAGTTTTATAAAAATAATTTTGTCTTGCTAGGATTACCGGGCTGAGATTCAGGTCAGGAGTGTACTGTGGATATGATGAACCTTGATTTAGGCAAAGCATTTGAAGTTTTTTAAGAAACTTTCTTTTCTAAAGAGATTTTTCTTTATGTCAGTAACTCATGCATACATTCTCATTCAGACCATATATAGAAGAGTCTTCCTCCATTCTCACTCTATTTCACTCCTGTTCCTAAGTTAGCCACCATAATTTATGCTGTCCTTGTGAAAGGAACATGGACTAGGTCATTGTACAGTTAGGAGGTCATGGCTGATTGAACAATGGGACCCAAAGAGTGTTCATTAATGGGTCACGCCAGAGCTCTTGTGACATGCCCTAGGCGTCTGAGCTTGGTCCTGTCCTTTTAAGCCTTTTTACTGCTGATGTGGGGAAGATAGAGAGTGCAGGTTTATAAAATTGCACATGAATAGAGCTAATATATTGAATGGCAAAAATGTAGAGTCAAGGTGATCCTAATAAGCCTGAAAACCAGATTAAGGGGCTGGCGCTGTGGTGTAGGGGTAAAAACGCCACTTGCAGTGCCGGCATCCCATGTGGGCACCGGTTCGAGTCCTGGCTGCTCCACTTCCGATCTAGCTCTCTGCTGTGGCCTGGGAAAGCAGAAGAAGATGGCCCGGGTGCTTGGACCCCTGCACCATGTGGGAGACCCAAAAGAAGTTCCTGGCTCCTGGTTTCATGTTGGCGCAGCTGCGGCCATTGCGGCTATTTGGGTAGTGAACCTGTGGATGGAAGACCTCTCTCTCTCTCTCTCTCTCTGCCTCTGCCTCTGCCTCTGCCTCTGCCTCTGCCTCTGCCTCTCTGTAACTCTGCCTTTCAAATAAGTAAATAAATAAATCTTAAAAAAAAAAAGAAGAAGAAAACCAGATTAAATACAGCCCAGTAATTCATTCATTGAGTATTTTTTTTTTTTTTAATATTTATATATTTATTTGGAAGGCAGAGAGAGAAAGAGATCTTCCATCTGCTGGTTCACTCTCCAAATGGATGAAACGACTGGGGCTGGACTGAAGCCAGGAGCTTCTTCTGGTTCCTCCACGTGGGTACAGGGGCCCTGGGCCATCCTGCTGCTTTCCCAGGTGCATTAGCAGGGAGCTGGATAGGAAGTAGAGCAGACAGGACTCAAATCAGCACCCACATGTGATGCTAGCGCTGTAGATGGTGGCTTAACCCACTGTGCTATGGCGCTGGCCTCCTTTCCATTGCATGTTTGTGGAGCCCTGGCCATGTGCAGAGAGCCCAGGCTGTGCTTCTGTCCTCGAGGAACCTGTTGCTTATCAGGTGAGACAAAGCACAGAGATATTTATCATAGGAAGCAAGAAGGACAGATGCCATTTAAGTGATATTAATACCATAGTAGCAGTAGGTTTGGAGGAATCATTCCTGCCTGGGGTGACCCAAGAAAGATACCTCAGGAAGTGACATTCAAAAGTTGATCCAGAGAGTGGATAGGTATCTGTGGAGACAGAAAGTACAGTGATTAGTGATCTAGATTGGGGATGGAGGTAGAATTGGGAGATGATAGCTAAAGGGTACAATTTCCTTTGGGGATGATGAAAATGATCCAAAGTGGATTTTAGTGATAGTTTTTTTAATTGACATATCCTATTTGCACTTATTTATGGAGTGATTCAATGCATGTGTAGGATGTGTAATGATCAAATCCAAGTAATTAGCATTTCCATCTCTTTGTTGGGAACCACCCTGTAGGTACTGTGAAATGTGTCATTCATTGTTGTGGACTGTAATTGGGTGGTGCTGCCCTGTGTCCCTTCCAGCAGAATCAGGACCCTCTGGTCTCCCAGCCCACATGAAGTACCTGGACTTATTTTTATTTTTGTAAATTATTTACTTGAGAGGCAAGGAGAGACAGAGCTCTCGTCTGCTGGTTTGCTCCCCAAGTGCCACAGCGAGGGGCCAGACCAAAGCGGGAGCTG